AGGCACTGGCTCTACCTGAAAGGGCTTCTCTCCAGTATGAACCAGTTGGTGCCGTTTTAGTTTTGAGCTCTCAACAAAAGCTTTGCCACACTCTGCACAGACGTGGACTCGGGGGCCGTGGGTGTGCAGATGCTTTCTCATGGCAGAGTTATCCCTGAACATCTTTGTGCAGCCCTTCAAACAGAGAGAGAAGCTTAGTGGTTCACACTGCAAAGTGCGCAAAGGGTCAACCACTGAACAGCCTTCACTGACACATTAGAACAAAACAACCCCAGCCCCATTTTAATTTTACTTAGTATTACAGCAGAAATATTAAAATATTTAAGACAAAAAACAGACAGCTGAAAAAGGCCTTATCATTTAATGTAAACCCTTGTTTTACAGATGAGGAAACTGAGGCTTAGAGATGTCTTTAAGTAGACTTGCCCAAGGTCACACTACTAGTAGCCGAGATGGGAGTAGAACCCAACACCCTGGCTTCCAGCTATACCACCGCTGCCTCACCCAACTCCGTCCCCCACATGAAGTAACAGAAGCCCTGAGAAATAAATGGAGTTAAAATGACGGCAGTCCACCACTACCTTTGGTGGGCCCCATATTCTGTGCTGCAAGAATGGGCTGTCATTCTCCATCGCCTACTGTTCCCTCTTCTCTCTTTGCCTCTTTCCCCTTCTTGACAGAGAAAGAAGCAAGAGGGTCTCCAAGGAATGGCAACTACAGAAGAAATTTATTTTGTGAGACACTAGGAAAAGAAGCAGGCAAACTGATACGAGAGCGGGGGCGGCAGATGGGAGGGTGGCGCTCAGAGAAGCATGTCCTGCCCAATTTCTTCTGCAGTTGTTGCCCAGTGATGGAGTGGGTGGGGGAAATGACAGACAGCACAACAGAGGACAGCACAAGCCAACCAGTGGACAGCTTCACAGGCAGAAGGGCGGGCAGGAAAAGCCACAGTTTTTTCACCTTGACCCCTAGGTTGAATTTCCATTTAGAAAATGGGATTTTAAAGAAGTAGACAGAGAAGCTAGAGAGATGGCAGGCACTCAAAGGCAGAACTGTTTTCAAATGCTTTGTCAGTATTTTGGCCCCAGTGAATCACTTTACATTTCTAACTCTCCACACGAAGAGCATTAAAAAGAACATGTGAGTTGCACAGTCATTAGAGGTGACACCTCAAAGCTAAATTTGTCCTCCAATCCTTCATTTTAAAAAATCATTTATTCCATTCAAAAATTCTGCCCTTTGTTTTTCTGCACCTGTGTAATTTTCTGTTCGTTTTACATCCAACTAAGTTTGAAACTGACCCAAGCCAATACCTCAAAGTATCTTTTTGGGCTATCATTTTATTTTAAAGACTAAATCACATTTGAAAACAATTATGTACCTCTTTAGTAACACACAATAGAGTAAATTAAGAAAACTGTGAAGAAAATGATGAAGTCTTATTAAGCTTACTTTAGCAACATTCAAAATAATCCCCAAATTCCTATAACACACCTACAGTCCCAATAAAGTCCATGGGTGAGCACACAACCCAATGTCTAAAACTGACTTGTTAATGACCCAAAAAGAAATAAAATCCTAACATATATTCAATATATAGTAATAATAAAAAACACTGGTGCCCTATAGTAACCCCATTTTAATAGTATTTAAATTTAAGTGGCCTTTACTGAACAAAACTTACATTACAAAATATAGTCTCTTGAATTTAGACATCAAAGATTATATAGCTCCTCACTTAATCTCAAAAAATATGAAAACAGAAATAAAAAGTACAAATTTCTTATAATCTCTCTAAAACTTCATTAACAGTCTAATGAACACTTTTCCCCTAGCATTACTTACTTTATGAGGGCAAGCTATTGTTCTTGGAGCATCATCTTCTTTAATTTTTCTTGGCTTCATTCTTACCAAAAGAAAAAAAGAGAGAGAGAGAGAGAGATTTGTAGGAGTGGGTAGACTCGACTGGCATAAATCATATAGTCCCTAACATGTTTTCCTTACAGGTCCAAAAGCTAAGATTACAATATGCTTCCGTGAAGGGGAGGGATGAGACAACTCACATTCGGAATACCTATGCGTGTGAAGCTCTTCCCACTGGCCAGAAAAGAATGCGGATGTTCAGAAAGACTGGGTTGCTGCCTAGGGTCGCAATGCTAATGAGCTGGTGGGGCAGTTTAGGATGGCCATGCTGTGATCTGTGTGACTCAAATATCTGCTCCTTCCACGGAACTCTTTAAAAAGATACAAAAGATCAGCAGCCCAGATAAACAGGAAATCAGGAGTGAAACAATGCACCCAAGAGCAGTTGCTGTGATAATAAGGATGCCTTATACCCAGAGAAACAGATATGGGAGGCTCTTAAAAACATATACACCCCCCCCCCCCCCCCCCGCCCGGTTTGGCTCAGTGGATAGAGCGTCGGCCTGTGGACTGAGGGGTCCCAGGTTCGATTCCGGTCAGGGGCATGTGCCTTGGTTGCGGGCACAATCCCAGTGGGGGGTGTGCAGGAGGCGGCTGATGGATGTTTCTCTCTCATCGATGTTTCTGGCTCTCTATCCCTCTCCCTCCCTCTCTGTAAAAATCGGTAAAAATACATTAAAAAAAAAAAAACAAAACCCAAAAGACAAAAAAACAAACACATATCCCAGCCCCAGCCTGTGTGGCTCAGTGGTTGGGCATTTATGAACCAGGAGATCATGGTTTGATTCCCGGTCAGGACACATGCCCAGGTTGTGTGGTGCGTGCAGAAGGCAGCCAATCAATGATTCTCTCTCATCACAGATGTTTCTCTCTCCCTCTCCCTCTAAAATACAAATACTAAAAAATATAGTATTTGTGTTCCTAACACAAATATACACAAATACTAAAAAAAGGGAGGGGATCCACTCATATTGACAGAAATGACCTTTTAGATCACACATGGGTGTAATAGCTCTGGAAGGGAACCTAACTGCTGTAACTGTAGTGTTGGCTGCTTTAGGAGCCCCCGAGGGACTGGTGGACAGGTGGGAACACCCATATCTCTTCATCCTGCTTAATTTTTAGCACACTATTGGTTTTTAAAAAAATAAGAGCATTTCTTTAAAAGGACAGAGATGCCTGGCCCTGCTTGCAAGGGAGGGAGTGCAATGAGAGTACTGATCCCGTGGGCAGCCAGATTGAGCCCTGCATGGAATTCCTATCCAGAGAGCTTGCTGAGTGGGTAACTTACCTACCTGCTATTTCCACTGAACCAACACTTGGTCTTTTGTCAAAACTTTCTCTCCAAATATTCCCTACAGATCTGTGTGTGGTGGAGGGGTGAGAAATTAAGAGTTCCTAGAAAAAAGATGTAAATCTCTGGAACAGGTGTTCTTTCTGTCCCTATTTTTGCCATCTCACGTTCCTCCAGGAGGATACATATTTAATGAACAACTAAGTCAATGATTCCTCACCAAGAGCCAATTGACCACCACCTTTTTATTAGAGTTTTGCTGTCATCTTTGTAATTGCAAAGGCCCTAACAACATCCATATTCACCCTTCATCTGGGATAAGGACTAGCTCCTTACTTTATAAAGACTAACTCAGGAATCACCTAAACTTTCCATGCCGTGGAGGAGCAGAGGTGAAACAATTTATCTGGCAGCTATAACTTATCTCTAAGGCATTTGTTCAAGACTGTACAAATTTCCTATTTTACATGACATTTTCAGTCTAATATCCTCCCCCTACCCCAACCTTGTAGGCACTGGGCCTTTCTTGTACTTAAGAGAATTACAACATCAATTAGCAAATATTTTCTAAGTGCCTGTTGTGTACAAGGGCTCTGAACTAGCCTTTGTTATTTTAAATACCACTCAATCCTAGAGTTTGGTTGGGTTTGAGTTCACAAAACTAAATAGGACAAAAATTTGATGCCACTGCGCCACCTGGAGGTTATATCAAAGTTTGAAAAACTACAGTAATTTATATGAAAGGGTTCTACTCCAAATATCAATTAAAAAGACTAAATAAGGCCCTAGCTGGTTTGGCTCAGTTGACAGAGTGTCAGTTGGTGGACTGAAGAGTCCCGGGTTTGATTCCAGTCAAAGGCACATGCCTGGATTGCAGGCTCGATCCTCAGTAGGGGGTGTGCAGGAGGCAGCCAATCAATGATTCTCTCTGATCCTTCATGTTTCTATCTCTATCTCTCCCTCTTCTTTCCTCTCTGAATAAAAAATATATATATATAAAAAAAAGAGTATATCAAGAACCAAGCTCAGTCTTCCCAAGTATGAATGTTTTTACCTTTGATGACCCCACTAACGTGTTCTAGGTCTGGACTCTAGAGATAGCTACACAACTGTTAGTGCATAAATTCATTAAATGGTCCTCACCCTAAAGAGGGTCAATTTTACTGCCTGCAAATTCTCTCAATACATCATTTTTAAAAAAAATGCCCATTGGAATGACAAAGAAGTCCTACAGACAACCTTTTCCCTGACCCACCCATCTCGGGGTCTGAATGTGGCAGCAGTGGAGGTCCCTGTACCAGGAGGGCAAGTGTGGCTCAGCTGAGTTTCCACACCCCATACATTTTCTTAGATTATTCCTAGGAACTGCATTTTTAAAAACATGATAAACTTTAAATATACACAAAAGTAAAGAGAATGGTGCCGTGTACCATTTACTCAACTCTTTGAATTTTTAAAAATGCTATTTATTGAGTGTTCTTTTTCCTTAAATGTCATTTTCAAAATGTGTGCAAGTTTAAAATGCATTTGGACAAAAAGGAAGTGGGAGGTGTTTAATTGCAGCCACTCTTAAGCTGCTTGGCAAATCACCCTGCTTCACTCAGAGCAGCGAATGAGGCAGTAGATGCTGGTACCTTTTACACTCTATTCCAATGCAAACACTGGGAAAAGGTCATTTCCCAAAGAAGTATACTTAGACTGAAAGAGTTTTGTTTTGTGAATAAAGACTAAAATCTTCACAGCACCAATTTATATATAACTTGCAAACAAAAATATATATATTCTATATTTGAAATCCAAAAATTATAAAAAAGACTAAAATCACATATTACCATTTTGAATATCTTCTTGACTTGCCCAAAGTAGTCAGAAGTAGCCAAGACTGGAGTTTTCATGGACTGTGATACTTTACAAAGATCTTTTGATCCAAAGACAACAATGACAACACCAAAGGCACTACAAATGAGACGGAATGGGATGTGCGACTTGATGCTGACTTCTACTAGTTTCACGACCTTGAGCAAATTACTTAACTTCTCAGCCTCAGTTTCTTACTCTGTAAAAAGGTATAATGCTGCCTACTTTAGAGCTGTGAAGGTTAAAAGTTGCACATTAAACTCTTGGGAAATGATAGCTGTGTGTTAAATGGATCTAGCTAAAAATGAGTTAATTCCTTAAATATAAATATAAATATATATATGCCAGTAATACTTAATAACCCAGGTCTGGTGCTCCACTGAACCACCCTTTCAACTAAAGGACTGTGAGACTGGAGAAAAAGGCCTCCTCAACGTGTTAGAAATTATATAAGGAGCCAGGTGTCAACAAGAGATGTTTCCCGTTCAATTAACATGGAGAACCCGCTCCCTATGACATGACTGGTTTCATGCTGTCTGATTCTGCATCTGTGGAAGGAAGATATGGTAAAGATTGGACTCCAGGACCAGAAACTGTAGGAATTTCCTGGTACGATTTCCTGCAGGGCATTGAGTAAACCAGAAGTTTCAGTCAAGTTAAATCTGCAATGTCCCCAAGCTGAGATTACATTTCTGAAGCAATGATTCTTGAATAAAAATAAGCCTCTTGCCTGCAAAAGAAGCTTACTTGACTTCAGACTGGAACCACCAATTGTGCTGACAGGACAGAGGTTTCTGTGTATACAGCTAGCGTTTGCAAGCATGGTAAAGAACTATACAAGGAATAATGCTGCCTTAGACAAGTGAGACAACATTTGTTAAATGAATTATCTCCTAAATAACAGTGCATATTCATGTGATGATACTGAAGAGATTTAAGGTACTTTCAGCTCCATGATCACATTCATGTTAATCCTGTGATTAAAGTCTCAGGGTGGGAAAAGAACAACAAAATAACCAACCTGGGACTAACTTAAGCACTCTTTATTCTGATCTTTCTAGACCAAAAGTTTCCAAAGGGCTAACTTTAGTTAATGAAAAATGCACAAAAGTTGTCCATTTAATCAGGAAATAGAATTTGCCAGGTCCCACCCACTGACCCTTTTGGAAGTATTTACTAAAAAGACATTTCAGGAAATAAGTGACCCATAGCCCCACCTCTCAAATACCATGACTTCCAAGTGTAAGTCATTATTTGTACTTGCCCACACACTAGCTGACTTACTAAGCAGTCTAGGGTCAGTGCAGCAGGAGCCTGAAACATCCTGTGGTCTGTTGCAAGTCCAGTGCAGAATCCCTGCACCCAGTATATGAAGGAGAGAAACGAGCAGCTAACACACCTCCTTAAGCCATCAGCCAAATTACAAGAGGAAGTGGATGAAGAGTGGAGGCCAGTAAAACAAGTTCTGTGGATCTTTAAAAGCAAACAAGATGTGGTCTGGCCCCAACAGTTTGAAATTTGGTGCCTTCAGCTTTCAGAGTCTCAGTCACCAATTCTGGGGACTCTGGGAAATCCCATTCAGCTGTTGTCACTCACATTCTCAAAATAGGGCATTCCAGGCTCAATATTTCTCACCACCACTACTGTCCAATTAGAGATTTGTTCCGTTTTACATGATCTTTTCAAGATACCATGGGAAATGGGGGTGAGAATGAGCCCAACCTTATACACTTCATATAAATTGTCAAGGTGAAGCAAGATCTCATTATTCTGTTGTATATAAATGAAATCTTTAGCAGGTTGGCCATAACAGAAATAAACCCATGCTATATTCAGGTGATCATGTAAACACTACTTACTACAGAATTTAACTCTGTGCCAGGATCACACTGCTTGCTCTAGAAGTCCAAAGGAGTAGCTTCAGTCCCACAAGAACCTTCTCCTACAGTCAGTCAAATGAGCTCTCTTCAAATACTGTCAGTAGTATGCCCCATTTTTATGCCATTGCTTTCCCTCATCCTGCCCCCTTTTCAGGGAGTTTCTGATTTATCTTTTCATTTTTAGAAAACTCCCATACCACCAAAATCTTCTAACTTCTTACTCATTCTGTCCACTACTGAATGAGATCGACTTTTCTTATAGCAATTCTCACAACCCACAGACTTCCTGTACTAAACTGCCTCTTGCAAAGCTGTCTTCTTGGTTTTCTTTTCACTGTATTCTTTAGGAAGTCTTCCTTTTGATGTTCACTCTCATTTTACTAGAATAGATCCTCAAGTAACCTCCTCGGAAAGCATGCATGCTACATAAAACAAATCTTGTATTGATCGATAGCTTTGCTGGATCAAGAATTCTACGTTTATAATTTTTCCTCAGAAACCTCAAAACACTGCTCCACTGTCAGATAATTTCTTGTTATCTATTGCTGTTTAAGAAGTCTCAATCATTCTTTTGTAGATGAGCTATCTTTTCTCCCTCAACGTTTTTAGATTCTTTATCCTTAGTGTTTTGAAATTTCATAAATGGTACCTTTAAGATATCTGGTACCTGGGTCCTCAGAAGGAAGGTCTTTGGGAGCCCTGATACAGAGGCAAACCACTTGGGGAAACAGAGGCTTCTATTCCACAACAGTGACACATCCCTCCTGGGTTTAGGGCTGAAAGACCCTGGGTTTTCTGTTCAGAGAACCAGGGGCCAGCTTCCAGATCAGCTGCTCTGATTCTCCCGGAAGGTGAGCTGTGCCAAGGGTTGTCCACTGCTCGCTACCCACAGGTACTCTTTCTGCAACACTCCCTGCTCCTTCAAGAGGTCACATCACAATGGACATTTTAGTGCTGCACTCCTTCCTCCTTCGGCCCCCTGCAGACTCCTGGCTCTCTCCATGCTGTGCTCACCTACCCGAGTCTCCTCCTCCTCACCTGCAAGATCCTCTGGTCCTTCCCTGGTTCCTCTTACTCTCTGAATACCAGGGCTTTCCCAGGACTCCCTGCAGAGTCTTTTCCCTCCAAAACCTCTCCCTCAGAGAGCTGACTTACCTAACACTTCCAGGCTTTCAGCTACTCCTCATCAGCCCCAATTTCCCAAAACCACCTCAAGTCCAGAATGGATGTTTCATTAGTACCTAAAACCAAACGCTGCCTACCCTGAATCCCAGACCAGCACCTTCTCCCCATTTCCCATCATCTAAGGAGAAAAGATTTAAAAAATTTTTTTTATTTGTTTTCTTTTTTATAGCGAGAGAAAGGGAGCGGGAAAGAGAAATATAGATGAGAAACATTGATTAGCTCCCTTCCGCACACCCCCTACCTGGGATCGAGCCCGTAATCCAGGCAAGTGCCCTGACCGGGTATTGTTGAACCATCAACCTCTCAATGCATGGAACAATGTTCAATCAACTAAGCCACACTGGCCAGGGCAAGGAGCAAAGCTTTTTATCTCCCTTCCCTCTATCTCGTGTCATGTTTACTCTTTCACAGCACCCTATCTCCCAGGCACACCTGACTGCTTACTGTTCTCTGATTATATACTGGATATGGAATGTGTGCACCATGATCATGCCAATCTAGCATGCATCCCACCACAGAAACCCCACCTACCCATCAAAGCTCAATGCTCTTAAGGCCCAAATCAAATGCCACTTGCCACAAAGCTTTCTTTGACCCCAGTGTCTCATTATCTCTAGCCCTGGGGTAGAGCCTATATCATATCTCACTAGATTCTGAGTACCATAAGGAAGAGGTCACTAACTTTAAGAACACATGGCAATATTAAAAATTGGCATGACATCTGCCCTAATCTCCCCCAAATTTCTAATCTCACTAATGACTATGTATCCTACAGATTCCATCTATATTTGTCCTGGGGTGGAGGGTGGCTAATATTTGACACAGGCCTGCATTTAAAATATGAATGGCAGTTTAACAGCTGGAACAATGTCATTAACATGAGTACTGAGCCTTAACTTTTTTGTTAAGCCATAACAAACTAGAAATAAATTAATGTGTATATTTTTCTCTATAACTAGTTTCACTGGACAGGTGAACAGTGTTGGAACCCTTGCTAAAACATAATGGAATTCTTAAACTCATTTATTAACATGTGGGGAAACTGAGGCTCCAAATGGCAAGAGGTCGCCCACCTTCTTTTTGGCAGGCCTGGAGGAGACACTGGGAGACTCCAGGGCCTCCAGCTCCTTCCTACTCCGCTCTGCTCTCGAGAGAAAGAAAAAAAGGTGCCCCACTCTGTCCTTAAGACAGTAGCATCACAGATTTCTTCCTGACCCAGCCCTTAAATTTCCTGGGTGAGTCCAGGCTCCATTCAGGCAGGGAAAAGAGGACGCTCTGCTCCAGAGTTTATTAGTTCATTTCATTTTACTTAAAAGTTTACATCTCTGTAAAAACTGCCCAACAAGACTGGAAAATAAATAATGTAAAAAGGGCAGAGGATTCTATAGGGAGCTCAGCCTGTTTCAGACAAAACAAACATCCAATGGATTCAGACCTTCCTTGCTGCTCACCTCTTCATAGTCATAGGGTCCCTGGCATGAATACCTGAACTCTTCCTGTCCCACCAGCTTACATTAACAAAATGATGGGAGTTTCCCTAGTGCCCCAGTGAATCATGAACGCATGAAATCCTCTCTTGTGGTCAGCTGTACAAAGTAGTACAGACCCAGGTCTCCTGCGGCTTAGCCCAGGACAACACACTGCACATGAAACTTACACGAGCAGGCCAGGGGATGGTATAAAGATATCCATTTCCAAACAAATTATGTCCAATTTATTTATTCACAAGCAATGTCATTTATGGAATTAAAGAGTATTTACTTCATCTTATTGTCTTCAAGGATCTAAAATGGTGCCACTCACATTAACAGTATAGTTACTATTAAAAATAAAACCAACTGCTTTTGTTTTCAAATGTTTCCCTAGAGCAAAAATACAAACCACCATTGTAACTTAGGCACACAAAAATACAGCTGGCAACACTCAAGTAAGATGAAAAGAAAGTTCTTCTAACTTACCTAGCAAATTCTGCCAGTTGTTTGGGATCGGAGAGGTCAATGCCAGGTATCCCTCCAGGAGGAAGTTTCTTTCCTGTCATGTACTCTGAATAGTCAGGAGGTGAGTTCTCGCCAATGATCTGTTCTTCAACCACCGTCTCATGGTCAATATCTTTTTTTTCATCTGAAGCACACCAAAAGATGATCTTAGCTAAGTAAAAATGTCTATGTGGGCAAATACATTTTAAAAACTATATAAAGTGTTTTCATTAGCAGCTTCTTAAATGGGAGATTTATAGCCACACCTCAATTTCTTAAGCACCCAGTCTTTTTTCCTTAATCTCTTAAAATCCCATTTTTTCTTGAAGGTCACCAAAATCTTCAATGCCAAACCCAGCGGGTCTGTCTCCGAATGCTCCTTCCCAGCCCACAGGGCGGTTCCCCAGCACCTGCTTCCCTGGATTCATCCACTTCTCTCTCTGGCTTATGTTCAGCTTCTTGCTTCTCCTTCCACCTCTCTCAGAGTTCTGCTTTTGGTCTACCACACACATTTCCTGTTAACCACCAACATTGCAACGTCTCACTTTATAGCCTTCACCTTAGGTAGACTCCTGCCTACCTCTCCAGCCTCCTCATTCTTCACTCTTCTCTCCTCACTCTGCTCAGCTCCACTGGCCTTTTAGTTCCTCAAATGCACCATGGCTCAGCGCCTTTCCTCTGCAACTCGCTCTTGACTTCGACTTATAACTATAGCTGTGTAATAGTTGTCGGCTCTTCCACCAGACTGCCAGCCCCTCCAGGACAGGGGTGCTGGTCAGTCCTGACCCCATGTATCTGCAGAGCCTTGTTCAAAGTCTGCACGACTGGCCCTCAATGAGCACCTGGCTTGAAGAATGTAGGACATCTCTAACTCATGTGTTACCATCATCTCAAATCCAATAGGGTAAAGGAATATTGATCCCCATAATTAATCTCCTGTATCACAGACATCAAATACTATTGATCATTTTGAAAAGGTCTTCTCTCCCTTTGTCCTACCACCATCAACTTAGTTATTACCTCAAGCCTGAAATGACTACTGAAGTTCTTAACTGAGCTTCACAATCATGTTCTGCTCTAGTGATGCTCCAAAGGATAAACTGATACAGAAAATGTAAGTGGATACACTTTCACTGGTGGTGCCTCAACAGAGGTATGAACTTCAGCCTGGCACTCTGGGTCCTATGCTGTCTGGTTTCATTTTAACACATCTAGGCTCACCCTCTATTTCTCTATGTCTCCTGTACACGTGCTCTCCATACTCCAACCAGCCATTTTCCCACAGGTTAATTCACAAGTGCCTGGCAAGATACTCCATAAGCACGAGTTCTCCCTCGCTCTAATTCCAGCCTACCTCTGAGCCTCCCATTCTTACTTTCAATTTCTGTATTTATTTATTGCTAATAACACTGCCAAAACACTAAAATCATGCTGTTCTGAGTTTTTATCAGCCTGCTCTCCTACACTGGAGGGAAAGCCCAGAGACCAAACCAGCCTTGTACAACTCTGGTGCCTAAAAGCAGAAAACAAGTGCTCCAAAAATACAATGTTAACTGAAAGCTTTGTTGTCCAACTCTTGCATTACCTTCCACCGGTGTTAAAACCCATGACTAAAAACCAAACCAAATTCTGCAATTAATGTCACTACCAAAAACAGCACATAGCTGTTTAGCACCCTGCTCTCTAACGCCAGACGTGAGGGAAAGATACAAGTAGAACAGGTAGAACATAGGTTCATTTGATTCAAGTTCAGTTCCCCTCAGCAATGGAAAACACAGAATACAACTGCTTTAAACTTTTAGCGCCTCTCTTTGCCCATCACTCTCCATTTCAGGAACTCTTGTTGGTCATTACAAGGAATTGCAGAACAGAACAGCAGCAGACATTTCACTGAATGTTTGTGTGTAGGCACTAGTTTAATCACACATACATCACCCTACGAAGTGGGAAAATTAGCAACTGCATTTTCCAGAGGAGAAGGATGAGGCACAGAAAAGTCAAGTCAGTAGCAAATGTGAGCTCATGAAGTCTAAGACCCGTGTGCTTAGCCATTACACTCAGCTGTCTCTTATTTGGAACTAGAAAGGACTGGATAGAACTGTGCACCTGAAACCTGGATAATTTTGTTAACCAGTGTCACCCCAATAAAATTAGTAAAAAGGAAAAATAAAATAAACCAGCTGGCACAATGCCTAGCAAAAACAAACCAAAAAACGAACTAGATAATATCTCCCGGGTTACCCATTGAGAGATGAAGAATATCCATCCAGGAATGAAGGGGCCTAAGAAAACAATGGCTGTGTGTATTAATAAGCAAGTTCAAGAAATGTAGTTATTGATCGTAAGTCACAAGGCTGGGGCTCTGCACTGTGACCAGATTCTTTCATTCCTCTTCTCAGGGCCGAGGCAATTCACCTCCAATTTCTCCAACTTACACAACTGCTACTATGCATCAACTTTCAAGTGGCACAGAAACATATTGGTGGGTAGGGAAGCTATTTTCCTTCAGTGATGTTTTATATTTCTGATATTAGAATGATACCAAGACTCAGAAACACTGCTGCTCTGAGCAAGCTACTGATGAGAGCACATCTCAAGTATGCTGGGGCAGAAAAAGACTGACCTCCTGGCATAAAGAAGTCACAGGCTAAATCACTCACTGTATTAGTTCAAACCATGACTAAGGGCCTCCTATGTGCCTGGCACTGTTCCATTTCTGGCTGTTCAGGAATAAAAGCCAGAAACAAAACAGTTTCTGCCCTCTGTTCTCAAGATCAAGGTGCCAGCCAATTCGGTGCTCAGAAAAGCTCTTCTTCCTGGTTTTATTTTTTTTTTAATATATTTTATTGATTTTTTACAGAGAGGAAGGGAGAGGGATAGAGAGTTAGAAACATCAATGAGAGAGAAACATCGATCAGCTGCCTCCTGCACACTCCCCACTGGGGATGTGCCCACAACCAAGGTACATGCCCTTGACTGGAATTGAACCTGGGACCCTTGAGCCCGCAGGCCGATGCTCTATCCACTGAGCCAAACCGGTCAGGGCTTCTTCCTGGTTTTTAGACAAATGCCTTCTTGCCGTGTCCTCACATACCCAGAATTCCTGTCTCTTCCTATAAGGGCACTAATCCCATTTACCAGGGCTCTATCCTCATAATTTAATTAGTTCCCAAAGGCCCTACCCCTAGGGATTAGGGCTTCAGTATCTGACTTTTGGAGTGACACAAACGGAAGTCAAATGAGAAAATACTTAAGGCTCAGTTCTTAGTTTTAATATTCAAGATGAAGCATGGGGGTGGGGGTGAATTAGAATACAGCCCTGGCCTGGTGACTGGGTTGGTTACAGTGTTGTCAGGATATACCAAGGTTGTGGATTCAATCCCCATTGGGCACACACACAAGTCAACCAATGAATGCATAAGTGGTGAAACAACAAATCGATGTATCTCTCTCTAAAGTCAATAATTTTTTTTTAATGAACAAAATAAACCCAGAGCAGAGGCTGGCAAGATTTTACAACCTCCAGTAACAGCCTGTGGGTCAAGCTCGGCCTGTCCCACGCCCCTCATTTTGTTTCCTTTTTATCCTCTTTTTTAAAATTTTGGTAAAAGATATGAACATAATATTTAACTCTCTGTAAATGTGCAATTCAGTGGCATTAAGTACATTCATAATGTTGTGTAACTATCACCACTATCTATACCCATCACTTAATTGCCCCAACAGAAACTTGGTACCCATTAAAAATAACCCCTCCAGCCCTAACCGGTTTGGCTCAGTGGATAGAGCATCGGCCTGCAGACCGAAGGGTCCCAGGTTCGATTCCGGTCAAGGGCATGTACCTTGGTTGCTGGCACATCCCCAGTAGGGGGTGTGCAGGAGGTAGCTGATCGGTGTTTCTCTCATCGATGTTTCTAATTCTTTCTAATTCTCTATTCCCTCGCCCTTCTTCTCTGTAAAAAATCAATAAAATATATTAAAAAAAAAAATAACCCCTCCTTCTCCAGCCTCAGGTAAGCTCTATTCTATTTTGTTTCTATGAATTGACCTATTCTAAGTATCTTTTATAAGTGGATCCATACAGTACTTATCCTTCTGTGCCTGGCTCATGTCACTGAGCATGTTTTCAAGATTTATCCATGTTGTAACATGTATCAAAATTTCATTCTTTTTCATGCTTGCATAATATACCTGTATGGGCATACCACATTTCGCTTATTCATTCATCTATTGATGGACACTTAGGTTATTTCCATCTTTTAGCTACCGTGAATAACAGAATGATGGTGTACAAATACACTTTCTATTTTTATAAATAAAATTTGATTGGAACAGCCATACTGATTTGTTTACATACCTCCTATGGCTGTTTTCCTGCTACAATCACACATGGAGTTGATTAGCTGCAACAAAGATTGCAGGATTTTCAAATCCTAAAATATCACTATCTAACAATTTTACAGAAAACGTTTGCTGACCTTCGGTCTATTTTTTTAAAATATATTTTTATTGATTTTTTTACAGAGAGGAAGGGAGAGGGATAGAGAGTTAGAAACATCAATGAGAGAGAAACATCAATCAGCTGCCTCCTGCACACCCCCCTACTGGGGATGTGCCCACAACCAAGGTACATGCCCTTGACGGGATTTGAACCTGGGACCCTTTAGTCCCCAGGCTGATGCTCCATCCACTGAGCCAAACCAGTTAGGGCGACCTTTGGTCTATTTAATGAGATTTCACTTAGGAGAAAATGGAATTAAACCACAGCGGCAGGCCTACTATTTAAAAAAAAGAAACAGTTTTTGATGGGGAGATTACTAAACAATGGGGTTTACTACCAAAAAGGACAACGTCTGTCAAGTCTTTAAAAACAGATTGGAGTGAAGTTTTATTTTGGAGGAGGAATAAATATGACTGGGCAATGACTCGATGCCTGGGGGTAGGATAAGAATGTTGAGTTTCTTGTTTCCATTTCTTAGAGGATGGTGTATCATCAGCTGATATGGAGGACAATGGGGGAAGAGAGACTGCGCAGGAGCAGGTCTGGAGTTCCACTGAGATCTGTGTGACATCCAGTGGACAGACCTCAAGGAGGTACTTGGAGATGCAACTGTGGGGGAGAAGAAATCTAGGTTGGAGAAATATATGGGAATCAATGGTATACAGACTGTATTTAAAGCCACCAAAATATAGAATATTATCTATTGAAAAATATATTGACAAAGAGAGAACTCAGAACCAAAATCCAGATAATTCCAATGTTGAGAATGAGGAAGACTCTGCAAAGGAGACTGAAGAGATATGTCCAGATGTAGGGAGAAAACTAGCTTTGTCTACTGAGACTTTTACTCAGTGACACACCAAGTGCCAGTGGTTCACAGTGAAGGCAGTCTCTCCCAAGTACACACAGTAAGAGCATGGTCTGTGCATAATTTAAAAACTGATTAGAAGTCAGTCTGCTTTTGATTATCACCATACGCATGCATTTCTAAATGTCAGTGATATAATATTCTTGCCTTAAAAAAATCTTGTTGGTCTAAGTTCTAAATAATTGCTGTGGTTACTGTACACTTTCATGTTTTTTACTTATTACTTAATAAGCAGTGTATTAATTACCTGGAAGTAAATTTGGAAAACTTGAAGACTGATGCATAGAAATTGTAAAGAGGGTTGTTAACTCTTCAATAACAAAATGCAAGGAAATAAACTATTTACATAGAAAAAAAAAATTCACATTCTGAAGAAGAGAAATTGCCAGAGAAATGACAAAAGATGCTGGGTTCTTTGGCCAGGAGAAATCAAAGACAATGTTTGTCTCATTTTCAGCAAGAGAGGGGCACATTTTAAAATAACAGATCAAATAATGGCAGTGTTTGTTATTACTTGGCCATTTTATTTGATTTTTGCGAAAGAAAATCTTCAGAAATCTTTGCCAAATAGAAATTTATGATGCTCTAAAACATAAATTAATATTTTATTAAATTTACAGACTATATGTTCAAAAAATATAGTAGTGAAAAGTTACTCATTTTTCTTTTTTTTAAAACAATTTTATTGTAAAATGTTTTACAGTTATAATATGCATTCAAATGAAGAAGACTTTCACTGTCTGCACTGGCCACATATCCATTTCTATGGAAATAGATTTGCCATATAGAGGGAAAAGAAGGTGTTAACTGATCCACTCTCAATGTCAAATGTTATGTACATTATTGAGCTGTACTTATTGGCAATGGGGTGATAGCAATACCCATCTAGGTAAAGCATGTTAATGAAGCAAAGTATCTAAATCTGCTTTAAAAAATTGTTGTATAGTTGATCATTAAACAACATAGGCTTGAACTGCACAGGTTCACTTGTATGCAGATTTTTTCAATAATACCTGTTATTGTTTTCTATCAGAGGTGGGGAGTACGTGGAATTTCAACTGTGCGGATGTGGCACCCATAACCTTTTCTTGTTCAAGGGTCAATTGTGTGTATACTAGGTATACATCCTCTCTGGAGTTTTCCTAGAGGGTGGACTTAGTTAACTATCCCTTCATTGTTTCAAGGAGACAGGGTCAATCCACATTAGAAGTTTCATTGCAGTGAGTTTCTATAACCAGTGTTAACTTAAATTTAAAATTGTGATTACCAGAACACAACTGGGCAAAGCAAATTAAAACCTACGTCACAATGCCTGGCTGGCGTAGTTCAATAGTTGAGCGTTGACCTATGAACCAGGAGGTTACAGTTCGATTCCCGGTCGGGGCATATGTCTGGATTGAGGGCTCAATCCCATGCAGGAGGCAGCTGATCAATGATTCTCTCTCATCATTGATGTTTCTACCTCTCTCTTCCTCTCTGAAAGCAATAAAAAAATATTTTTTTAAAAAAACCAATGTCACAATTCCTGTATGAAAAAAAGCTGAGAATGCAAGGCACTGCTTCATACGGATAGTAGGGTGGTGGGGGAAATTATATTGATAACTTCTCATCAAAATTGTGGATTGGTCATGTCACTAACCTCTGGTCAAACACAAATGACCTGCTACAATCAGACCAAAGTTTAGTTTAATGGCCTAAAATGGAACGTGGAAAAGCTAGCCAATGCCACCCATAAATGGGACACACATTTTTAATTATTTCAGAAATTAAATAATCAATTCATTCACATTTTAAAGATATTCTCTATTGCTTGCATATGAAACTATTCAAAGGGTAGAAAAGTTGTGTAAGTCCATTTCTCATATATACCTTTCCTTCTCTGTTAACAAAACTATAATCACTGAAAGTCTAGTTTGAGAGGCAAAGCAAAGAGACTCAAAATAATTTACAGCCCAAAAGGTATGATTAAGGAACTAAATGAAAAGACTGGGAGCATTCTACAGGTCTCCAGAGAAGAGGTTAAAAAGTGGAGTCTCACCCTAGCTGGTTTTGCTCAGAGGATAGAGCTTCGGCTGGCGGACTAAAGGGCCCCGAGTTCAATTCCAGTCAAGGGCATATGCCCAGGTTGCAGGCACGATCCCCAGTAGGGGGTGTGCAGGAGGCAGCCCATCAATGATTCTCTCTCATTGATTTTTTCTATCTCTCGCTCCCCCTCCCTTCCTCTCTGAAAGCAATAAAAATATATTGAAAATCTGAGACATATGTACTACTATTTGTAATACTTTAAACAAGGAAATAAAAAAATTTAAAAATACATATATTGAAAATCTGTACTAATAAAAGGGTAATATGCTAATTAGACCGGGTTGACCAGACACCTTCCAGACATCCAACTTCTTTCTGGACAAAGCTGGAGCTGAGGTGGTGGGAGCCGAGGCAGAGGCAGTTAGAGGTGATCAGGCCAGCAGGGGAGCAGTTAGGGGGGCGGCCAGGCCAGCAGAGTTAGCGGGCATCCAGGCCGGGAGGGGGGCAGTTAGGGGACCACCAAGCTGGCAGGGGACCAGTTAGGTGGCGACCAGGCTGGCAAGCAGAGGCAGTTAGGGGTAATCAGGCAGGCAGGTAGGGTGGTTTGGGGTGATCAAGCAGGCCGGCAGAGGGGCAGTTAGGGGGTGGGCCAGTTAAGGTGCGGCCAGGCCGGCAGGGGAGCAGTTAGGGGGTGACCAGGCCAGCAAGCAGGGACAGTTAGGGGCGATCAGGCAGGCAGGCAGGCGAGTGGTTAGGAGCCAGCAGTCCTGGATTGCGAGAGGGATGTCCCAGATTGGAGAGGGTGCAGGCCGGGCTGAGGGACACCCCCCCCCGCGCACAAAAATATAAAAGATAAATAAGGACTGTTTCTGAGCCATTTAAAAAGTGCAGTCTCACCTGCCCTCCATGCTCCAACTAAACTGGTTTTGTGTGATTCAATGTCTGATACAAGGTACATGATAGCCCTGGCAGGTGTGGTTCAGACAGTTTAGAGCTGCATCCTGTACAATGAAAGGTCACTGGTTTGATTCCAGTCAGGGCACATGCCAGAGTTGTTGGCTTGATCCCCGGTAGGGGATGTGCAGGAGGCAGTCGATAGATGTTATGCTCTCACATTAATGTTTCTCTCCATCTCCCTTCTTCTATCTCTAAAAAAATAAAAAAATATTTTTTAAAAAGATCTTTTTCCTTCAAGAGGCCTTTCCTTCCTATTCATGAACCTTGCTTGGTTTCCTTGGTAATGAATAAAGAGAATGGCACCTACCTTATAAGGTTAAGACAAGATAACACACTAATGCCAACCATTCTGTCTGGAATAGAGGAGCGTGCAAAAACTCCTTCAGTCCACTTTTCCCTCCCTCCTGGGTTTAAGGATACAGTAGGTACTATGCTTAATGGTTTTTAAAGAATGTAGTAAGCAAGTAAAAAACATAGAAAATTATAGACAATCTTCAGTTAGGTTACACTTTAAATCTTTTGGCCATTCTAAGTGTGTGAAATGTGACATTAGATTGGTGGGAATCTGTGCATTACTACCAGTCAGTGGTCCCCTTCAAATATAAAGCAGTTTATTTTAGAATTCAGTCTTAAGTAAAGCTTGATTTTCCTTATAATATTTTCCCATCTTGGAATCAGATAACGGTAGTAAGGTTTCCTTCTGTACCTCGATTGCCAGGAAGCTCATTAGGGTTGACCCTAATGCTTCCTTATTTATATTCCTTATTTTGTTTTTTTGTTAATCCTCACCCAAGAATATTTTTTCCATTGCTTTTTTAGAGAGAGTGGAAGGGAGAGAGAAGAACATCAACGAGATCGGTTGCCTCCTGCATGCGCACCACCTTTGACCTGGAATTGAACCCAAGACCCTTTGGTGCATAGGGTGATGCTCTAACCACTGAGCACTGACCAGGATGTTTCCTTTCTTCTGAACCTGATTTTCTATTTTTACCAATTCTCACAATTATTTACCTATTTATTTACTTACTTATTTATGGGTTAACTAGATTTTATTTCTCCACACCTTCCATTTTTAGTCCATTAACTTTGGTATGACCATTCTAGGTGACTTTTAGCAAAAATGACATTCCTTATTCACCACTACCACCTCCTTCACTTAAATGGGATAGAACTACATATTTGAGACTCACTGCTAAGCAATAGGCAAAAGTGAGCCATAGGCTGTTTCCACTTTCCCCCACTAATGAAGACCCTAAGTAGGGATAATATCATTTACTGAGTACCTGGTACCTGTTTTATGCCAGCAACTATCACATTCTTTAATTTAAGCAAAAACCTTTAAGATATTAACCCCATGTTTTTTTGGTTGAAGAAATCAAGCCTCAGAAATAACAAGTAATGTACCTAAGCACAGTAAGTCACAGATCTAGGATTGATTCTGAAGTCCATGCCTTTTCTAAAAAGAGAAGGCTTTTCCACCCCTCCTCATCGTCATTTCTTTCCCACCTCTGTTGTAATAGAGAAGTGTGGCATTTGGGTCTACAGGCTAGGATTCTGCCTTGTGCACTTCTGTGCACTCAGCTAGTTGCTGAGAATAGTCTGCGTCTAGTGCTGTTCTAAGGCTGCAGGGTTATAGCCCAGGGCTTACACCAGCCGTGGGCAAACTACGGCCCGCGGGATCCGGCCCGTTTGAAATGAATAAAACTAAAAAAAAAAAAAAG